TTATGTTGTGTAATATGTGCACACAAAAAATTAATGTGCACATGTGCACATTGTGCACATAGATTTTACACACTGGACCACAGATCATCTGTAGATCAATTTGCAAATCTAATTTCAAGGGTAACACTATCTAGCTTGGTATCGACTTTTAGAATTAAAAGGTTATATTCGTACACTTGAAGCTAATTTGGCGATCAGGATTCTAAAAAGGATTCTCAACGGCTATCTAACATAATGTTAACAAATGATGAATGGGACTTACTTCGTGATTTGATAAGGTAGTAATTATTCTACTCATAGTATAATGAAACCTTTAATAGCTGAAATTATTGACAATCTCAAGCCTGAATCTGAATCAAGTACAACAAATATTAATATTGAGGAGATTGAAGATATTTTTGTATGGGATGAGAATCAAGATAATCCAGATAATACTAATAATAATAACAATAAAATTAATTTAGATAGGCCAATGCAGACATCGGGAGTTTTAGAAGTAGTAAAAAAAACTTTATATTATGCAATGCTTTTTTATTGGAAAAAAGATCGCATAATATCATATTTACCATCTATTCTTGACCCTCAAATCAAAAAACTTGACTTTGCGCCTGATGAAATGAGATCAACCCGGTATTCTTTACAAGACAAATATAATGATATGAAATTTAATATGTCATTATATACTCGACCTTCTTCACCTTCATCTGATTTAACCACTACTCCTTTTCTTGGTTCTACACCCTCTCCTACATTATATAAACCAACCCTTTTTAATATTTTTAATCATCCATCACCTAATAATAATCAAAGTGAACTTGATGAATACCTTGCAGTTCCACAAATTCCATTTAATTCAGACCCTTTTTCTTGGTGGAGGATTAACAAAGAAAAGTTTCCAATAATTAGTGAATTAGCATGTGCCTATCTTTCGGTTTCAGCCACTTCAACTCCAAGCGAAAGGTTGTTTTCAGACTGCGGAAATTTGATGGGACCTAAAAGAACACGTATTAGTTCAGAGTTTTTTAAAAGGTTAATGTTTTTGAAAAGAAATTTTAATATTTTGGACAGTATTCACCCACCCAAATAATTAATAATAGCAACAATTAATAAAAATATTATTTTTGCTTACGGAAACAAATTTTTTTTTTTTGAAGTTAAAAGTTTTAATTGGCTAATAAATGCAATAAATTAATAACACGATTTTCTGAATGCATAAGTTTATAATTTGAACGGATTGCGGATCATTCGTTAATATCCGGATCATCCGGATCATCCGCATAATATCCGAGAATGGGGGTTTTTTTTGAACGGATAAGGATTTACATCCGGATTGAAAACTTTTGATCGGATAACAATTCGGATAATACGGATTGACCAGATCGCACCTCTATGTTTAATCAGCAGTTCATAAAACCATGTTTTCTTCATCACTTAAATTTTCCTCCTCCTCTTCACGTAAAAGGACTTGTAACCATAGCATATTATAATATATTTGTCGATTCATATTACAAGAGAAAAACAATTATATTTGACAAGTCAATCAAAAATTTGCTCAATTGTACGATTGGTTACATTTTTTTTCGGTCGATCCAGTCCGATCTAGAAATGAACAGGGCTACTAGGTATTGCTACAGAGGTATTACAAACATGTGAGGTGTGTTACATACGCTACTATATTTTATGGATCATTTGTTCAGTTTGGTGGGGAACCTTTAAATATAGATTCCCGGTCCTGTTGAAACAATGTAATGTGAATAAATTCTCCAAGAATATTTTTTCTCTCGAAACCCGAAATTCAATAACACATTCACTTTTAATTTGTCAAATACAGATGAATTAACAATTATGACGACTCATTGATATTTTTAAAAACAAAAAAACATTGGCTTGAAAATACAAAAGAATCAGGCAATAATTTAATAATAATAAAACAAAAAATCCAAAAGATATTCTTCATGATCAACCCAATAATCTTGATCACAGGTAATGATAATGAAAAATATCAACCCACTGCTTCAGTATGGAATAAGAATATTATAAGCCGGGGATAATGGTCTGTACAGGAGCAATATTGCATATACTGTTGAATGAACCGCATGACCAGCCGGTTTGCAGGTTACGCAGGCTAAGGCAAATGAAACTGTATTTCGATATAGCAAAAATTAGTTTGGAGATTTTTTCCTAATCTTCTCCCCTTTTTTGTTTGAATAAGATAAATACCAGAATTCTTGATCGCAAGGACATTTCATATGCTTACAGTTGCGGTCATGTTCGATAATTGTACCACATTTCGGGCAAGCGCGGCACGATGGTACACCGGATACGTTGCCTACTTTCTGAAACCACAAAATTAATTAGTATTAACGTTAAATTATACAATTATGAAAATAAAAACTTCAGACAAGATATCTTACCTTTGTGATCGCATTTTTGAGAATTGCTAGACGTGGATCGACACCTCCACATAAATTGTTTTTACAATGATATCCATTTGAACTATTAACCTCGTGCAAGCAATACCAACAGAATGCGTATTCTCTAGCTCCCGACTTCCTTGAGCATATCAAACAGATTACCGATGTCCGATCCTTATTGCTTCTCTCACAGTATGTGGAGCACTACCGATGGCACTTGGAGTCAACAAAAGCTGAGACAGAAAACTCGAAAAGTAATTTTCATCTCACCTGAGGACATTCTTGAGCGCCGAGAACGCGAAGAGAATAATTTTCACTAATCTTGGTCTCGAAATATTTACGCTCGTCGTCAGTAAGCAGACCTATCTTGCGGATGTCAATATATTGCCATTCCGCATGGCAACGAATATCGTTTGTCGCTTGAAATATATAACGAATAGTGAGAAAACATTATCAGTTAACGTCAGACACAGACATGAATACTCACGGTTGGTATATGGACAAAAAAATTGAAATTTGCCTTCGCTAACTAGTGATCTGCAAAAGGCAGTCAGGGATTCGGGACCAATAGCATGGCCACATGGCATCTGAACAGGGTTAAAGATATTTGAAATTAAATTTTGTTTTCCAAGACATTTGAAAAATATTTATTACCTTTGCACGTAAGTTGTCTGGGTCGTCCTCCCAACTAAAAATCAAAAGACCGCTTAGATTGGCTAGAGTGAATGATTGGAGCAACTGTGAGTACTTACGTGATCATGTCGGGCTCGTTGGTTAACTCAACGTCATCGTTGGGATCATGACGTTTTTCATCTACGCCACCTGGGAGTCTGAAATACAACATATTTCCATTAGAAAAAATTCGTGATGATCATCACTATTCAATGGTGACGATAATTATATATAAAAATCATTTTTTAAAGCGAAGATTTTTTTCTACTTTTCAAACCAATTTTTTTAATTATCTATTTTATTTTAATTTTACCTAACGACCAAATGAAGTGTAGATTGTGCCACTATTTTATAGTATTCTACTGTTAAATGATCTTCGAGTTGTTTTCCGGCAAATATGAACCGTTGATGCTCAATTTCTACACCTGTCTTATCTTTCACCATTTTCTTAATATCTATAACTCTGGAGACACCAAGGGAAAATGTTAGTACCAGATTTAATTGTTTCCATTCTTAGTTTCGCGTATTATCTTTACTTGGTTTCTGGCGTGATATTATTATACGTAGTCAATTTTCCTTCGAGGCCATTTACAAATATTTGAAAAACCATTTTTAATTCAGAATAGAGTGAGTGCTGTTAGGGATCAGACTGTAAGCAAATATATATATTGGGTGTGGTCTCTTGTTACACACATTTGACGATTTGGATATTCTTGGATTATTTCTTTCGATCTTTCAGATTGTTATTGTTTCTTAAAATGGACTTTAAATGGAATTATAAAAAGTTTTAAGTTCCTTTTACGGCCCATTCAGGTTTGTTTCTGCGATTGTCCTTCATTGTAAAAAGTATTTGGCGTTTCCTTGAATCATTGTTTACAGTGTATTTTTATCAATTTTTATGTACTAACTTTAATAATGTTAACAATAAAGAAAATAACCTCTTTTTGACTGGAAAAATAAGCAATGACAAAAAACAATTTTTTTTTGTTTTGTCTGTACTTGTAATAAAGAAAAATGCGGATTTGAAGTTTTTTCTTAGATGGAATTTAAAGTTTAGAAAAAAAAATTAACTAGAATTTGTTTTAATTGGTCAACTATTATCTTCCTTTATTAATGATAAAAATATATCGATTTAATTCTAAAATTTTCTTATGTAAAAACGCATCTTAAAACTTGGCATTAAAAAGAAAACTTTAAGAGCTATTATCGCTGTTTTCAAATAGTGAAATCTGCAATCTACAATCGTAAGATATATTATTGTATAATAAAATGCAAATTTTTACGAATTTTATTATTTTTTTGTAAACTCTTTATAGCATTTAATGAATCTCTTTATAACTAGAATATACAGTATTTCACTTATTTAGTTTTTGTGAATAAAGTTTTCTTTTTAACTTTATATTCCCCCAAAATTCTAATATGTACTAAAACGATATAGATCAAAATGTAGTGAAGATTTCCAATAACGTATTATTTATAAGCAAGTTGAAAAATATACAGCTAATAAAGAGGAAAGACGGAAAGTTGTAGAGTATGTTGAGTATTGTATGGTATATAATTGATCTTTTATGCTTAATTGCTAGGAGTTTAAGTTTTTAATATATTTAAAATTAACTTTAAAGTGTAAGTAAAATTCCTTCTAAATTTGGAAGGAAAACCATTGAAGGAATAGTACATTTCAAAAAAATAAGATACAACTTCAATGCTAAACATATTTTCATGTGATCTCAATTTTATATTATTAGATAATAAATTTATATTTGCAAGATTATCCCTTGAAACTAAATAAAAATAACAAAATAACATGGAAAATTTGAATAGAAAGTAAAGATAGGCATCATAATTAAAAAAAAAATAGCGCAATTGAGTTGCAACTTATGACGCAATTAAATTTCCTTATGGCGCAATTAAGTTGCAACTCAATTGAAATTTGAAAATAATTATGGAAATCATTTTTAATTGAAAAACTTATAAGTCAGACAAAAAGTTGCTACTTTAGATCAGTCTGCTATTCCTTAGATTGTCTAGCAGGCAAATTTGCCTGCAAAATTAAAAAAAATTGTTAATTTCTTTATAAAATATTTAATACTGTTAACGTGCATTCTTGCGAAACTACAACTGTTAGACAGGGTGTCAGAGTGTTATTTCTTTTTAATTGCATAGTAATCTTAAGGCTTTTACAAGTTTATTATTATAACTAAATTCAGGTAAAGGTTTCAGATAAAGGTTTTTACAAGTATTTCATAATCAACAATTTACGAGGTATCGAGTAATTATATTTTTAAGTAAGATGTTTATTAATAAGGTAAGAAATAGAAGTAAAGAAAATAAAAGATATGACAAGAGAAAAAAAAGAAAAAAAATAAAGAAACAAAGTATGAAACTAAAATGTAACATGATAGGCCTATTTACCTCTTAAAAACTACTAAAACTGACTTGTCAAATCCTCCTTTTTATATAGTCTAAAAAGCTATCTATTTATATACAATATATAGAAAGATATAACTAATATATCTAATATATCGTATATGTCAAATATGTCCGATATGTCATATATGTCGAATCTATCTAATATATCTTATTTGTTGATCATGTTAGATATATCATATATATCAGACATGTCAAAAATGTTAGACATGTCAGATATGTCAGATTTGTCAGATTTGTTGATCATCTGCACTATGTAAGTCCTATCATATTTTATTCGTTCACAATACTAATTTTAGTAATATTATTACTATATAAAAAATATATTTTAATATATATTTTATCAACTTTATTAACAAAGATTTTA